TTCCTACCTACCCCTCCCCTCCTCTCTCTCTCTCTCTCTCTCTCTCTTTTTTTCTTTCTCCCTGTCTTTCTCTTTCTCTATTCTTCTCTTGTCAAACAGTGGATTTTTTACACAGAAGAAAAATATCGCTACAAAGCGCTTTTGTCCGAATTTATTGGGTTTCTTTGTACCTGCAAAAGGCGCTTTTTAGTGAAGTTTTTCTTTCTCCTGTTACATTGTCTCAAACAGAATTGATTTTGACGTGTCCCATTCCTATGCCTCAACTCACTCACTCACTCTCTTTCTTTTTCAACTTTTGGAAAAGTACATTCCGCCATCGGTGTATTCGCTGTCTTCTCAACGTCTGTCTTGTGTCGCTGTTTTGCGTCGATGGATTAAACGGAAAAAAAAAAATAATAAAAGACAAGAAAACATAAACACGGCAACTGCTTTTCTATGTACATACATACATAGACGACGTACACGCATACAACGTATCTTACGTACCTAAATACTTCATTTGACATACAGTACACGTTGTTGAGACACAAAAAGCATCTTGACGTGGGTTTACCGAAATGCGATTGCTAAAGTGTATACATTTCTCACCCCGCACTTTTATTTCTCCACGCCTGATCTTTGTCCTCGTCGTTGTCTGTCACTATATCTGTCGCCTTAATATCAGCCTCTGTTACCCGCATTATGGCAAATGGGCAACGAAACGTTCTTTTCCTTTGTTTTGTTTTGGCAAAAAAAGAAAAAATAGAAAAAAATTGCGCTACGAGATTCCCGTTGACGAGAAAAGTAACGACGAGCCGCTTAATATTGTTGAAAGCGAGCGATGCGTAGCCGATCATTCGCTCGCAATAAGCGTCGATGCGACGAGATCTCGTGCAAATCAATCATCGTCCGCGTCGATCGAGCGGTCGGTACGGATTTAGTTTGCACGAAAAAAAAAAAAAGAGATAAATAAAAGAAAGGAAAGCGCAAGTTAGGGACAAGCGATACCGATTTTTTATAATTTACGTGCAGCTTTGTGCAGTCCTACGTAAGCGACGACTAGCCACACGACCTTATTAATGAATCTGTACTTTCTTTTTTTTATAGGGGTAGGGCGTCCCAAAAGTAAGTTGAATATATCGAGATGTTTACACGTCAATAATATATCCTCCCTGTTCTTCGGCCACTCTCTCACATCCTCCCCCCCCCCCCTCATCCGCCCGGAGTCGGTTTTTCTGGCGTCGATTAAATTCGATTTTCGCTTCATCTCCTCCAGAGAGAGAGGTAGTAACTTTTCTTTTTAATTTTCTCAACGGAAGAAAATTGAAATCGCTTTTTTTTTCTACTGACGTACGAGATTCGCGATAAATCGGAGCGAAACACCGGTAAGATACTTACAGGCGTAACACGTCTCTGTTCGAGAGCACGCTAACGCGCAATTTGCCGATCTTTCGTCGTGATTTATCATAAAATCACGTAATTAAATTAATTTCGGGATAGATTTTCTTTTGTTTCTCTCCGGAAAGCTGAGAGCGTTGACGAAATTACGATTGAAACTGACTTGACGCCGGTGAAACCGGCCGCCATCGGAACCCCAGATTTTTTTCATTGCGGCAGGAATGAGATCGCAGAAGATCGCGTTCGACGTTTCGTGTTACGGATCGCGGCGCGTTGTAGATCTGCCAATTTCTATCTACATCGCCGGCGAGAATCTTGCTTACAGATACGGGACGGATAACGCGATCGTTGGCCTGCGGTGCGACGACGAATAATAATAGGATATATTTGCCGAAGGTGGAGCAACGTCGGCGGGGGGTGCACCGCGGGGGGAGGAACGTTCGTGAATATTCCATCGCGGTTGCATAACGCTAACGCGCGACGATACTTGAGCCGTTTGGGAGCCCGCCAGGCGTCTCATAAATATATGCACAATAACGTAACGCGGTTTATTCTGAGACCGACGTCTGCTCAAAATGTACCACGCCCCGGCGCCGACGTGATCTTATTAACGTACGGCTGTTCGATACATAATGCAGCATCCGCGGCAATATGCTGCATCTTTACGCTCGATCTTCGAATTCGCGGGTTTCTCCATCGACTACATGCCGTCGGAATAAAATTATGCAACGAACCGCGTAAAGACAAAAGTACGTTCGCTGCTTGAATATTAATATTCGCTACATTATTGAACTAAAATTCCATAAATTCACATCTGATTCTATTCTTCTCTCCGCGAATTTTCTCTCGGGAATTTCGAGATTCCTAAATGTAAATGTTGAATTTTCCTCTTGCGAGAAGACTCGCGAAATCGCATCATCTTTACACTTGAAGTAAAAAAAAAAATCGAATTGTAAAATTAACACGAGCACGACGATGCTCTGGATCTCAGTCCTGTCGATGATGTCTAATCACTCGTTGTCAGTGTTCGAGGCCACTCTTCTCCTCCTCTCCCTCCCCCCTCCCCCTCCCCCGACTCTCCATCTTCCTCACGTTTATCTCTCTCGCAACCCTCGCGTGTTTTACGTTTTTGTCTCTCTGATTAATTAACGAATTAACGAGTTGTACATAATCACGTCTTGTTCGAGTTGCGTCAAAGTGATGTGTCACACGTCCTTGTATCTCAAGGCTCGTTATTTTGTCCGACTCCCCTGATATTAATTTGTACTTGACTTTGCGCCATCGCCATAATTGATCGACTCGCAAGCAATAATTGCTATACCCACGCCCGCAGATCCCATGAGTAAGCGGTTTCTCTCTACCATCCCGATGACATCTTTCACGATGTAAATTATTAAAGAAAAGGAAAAAAAGACAATACTCGAAAGATCGTAACGGGGGGGGGGGGAGGGGGGTGCCATGAAGCTCGGAGAAGGGAGGCCAAAATCCGACAGCGATTGCGGCATCTTCTCGTTCTCTTCGAGCGACGTACCTTTCGGGGCACGAGTTATCATGTCCTCCATGAATTCCTACGGATCGAAGGCCAGCTCGGCCCGAGAAATCGAGCGAATGTATGCTAAATCCATTCGAAAACAATTTCGAGCCTACGCCGCTCAAAATTATCATCATCCAAAGCGTATCTCGATCTCACGCTTGAACGCGGCTATTATCCCCCTGTCTCCGGTATCTCTTCTGATTATTCACTGAACATCCCTCACGATCCTTACGATTGAGTAACAAGTCCCAAGATAATCATGGGATTCCTCGCTACTCTTATTAATGCCTACTCCCGTGATTCGCTGCGGTGCGCATTTTGGTTTCTTCTTTCTATATGCTTGCACATTATTATGCCTTATTATATTTGCCTCTTTCTTTTTCTTTTCCTTTCTCTGCCTATCTCTCTCTCTCTCTTTCTCTTTTATTTTCTTTCTTTCACACCTCGCCTCTGCCTCTGTCCCACTTTGTCCCGCTCTATTTCTTTCTGTTTATCCGACCGTGCAACTATCTGTCTGTCTGTTCCGTCCATGTGTTGTCTGTGTGTGTATACGTGCGACAAGTGGCATTGAATAATATGCACTATGGGAGAGAATGGATGGAGTTGTAATAAAGTAGTGGAGATATGGACGTGAGAATAGCGTATGGAGTTCTGGGGGATCTCGCGAGATCTTCCAGAGAGCGAGCTCAACCGTCGTGATTTAAAGAGAGTTACTTTTGTTTTCACTCCGGCCTCCTTCAGGGAATCTGGCGAGAATATCGAGTTTATGAAGGTGAGTGCTGGTATCTGTATGCACATACATCGAGCGAGTGCCCAAAGTGCTCCCCGTGCGAGACGATATCTCTCTGTAATCAAAGAAATCTTTTATGATAAAGCAAAGTATATATTTGAAAATTTTTCGGATTGATTTAGGCACTTGAAAATTTTTTTTAGAAATATTAGAAATATTAGTGAGTATGATCTTTTATCATTTTCAATCCTAAAGATTTTCAAATATCACGCACTGTCACATTTCGGAAACGACAGTTAAATTGAATAATACTTGAGAACCAACCGAGAAATAAAATTCCACATAATTTAATTTCTCCTACTTTCCGTTAAAAGAGAATTATTATCTTCTGCACTCGAAAAGGGCAACATCATCTTTGTCAATCGCACTGGGAATACATTGGGCTCGTTAAGGGAGACACAATCAAATGTTATGCGTTATGACTAATCCGCCGTTAAAAATTCAGAGGCAAGAACAGAAAAGAAGCGACCTTGACGAACAGCTCAAAGAATACATAGCGGAATGGCGAAAGCAGAGAGCCAAGGAGGAGGAGGAGTTGAAGAGATTAAAGGTAGTAATCTCCATTTGTATTCATTTTTGTATTCTTTTTTTCATAGCTTCTCGTTTAATGTTTTATTAATGTACCATTTTTACAGGAGAAACAAGCCAAGCGCAAGATCACTCGCGCGGACGAGGAGAAGAGATTGGCTCAGAAGAAGAAGGAAGAGGAAGAGCGTCGCCAACGTGAAATTGGTAAGTGCACTCATCCTCATCTTTCTTTTCTCCTTTAAACGAATCTGGATATTTAATGGGCTTTTTGAAATATTTCAGAGGAGAAAAAGCAACGTGACATCGAAGAGAAGAGAAGGTAAGTGGTTCGTTATACAAAATCGTTTATACAAAATGTCCTTCATTTGTACAAAAAATTCTATTGTTGGTATAGCGGCTCTTTCCTTTCATTTTTTATTAAAGCAAAAAATATATTGAACAGAAAAAAATTGAACAAAAAACAAAAAGAAACTTCTTTAACAACGAAAAGGCTTGTTTCGTATGAATATTTATGTCACGAACGATTATAAAATAATCACAAAAATGTCAAATTATTTATATCACTAACGATCGAAAAAAAAAGAACTGTATGACATTTTTTGCTATTGCTTATTTATTTATGTTATATAACGTTTTTTTTGCCATCTTTAACAACGTAAGTAATTTGACATTTTTCTTACATAAAAAAATATTCCTGATATAAATATTTTATCAATAACTTATTGTGCCTTTAAATAGTAATATCATTGATATTAACTTTGTGAATTTATTATACATTAATAAAATTAATCACTGGTAGTTGTATAATTAGCACTGATAATTAGTACGTAAAACAGAATAAGATTTATATTTTTTCATATTTTATTACAAAGTTATTTTTGTATCAAATTGAACTTTTGTTCTCGTTGTGAAATTGTTTCCACATCATATATGTAACTTTTTTATATTTATTCATTATGTACTTTAGGCGCCTGGAGGAATCGGAAAAGAAGCGACAGGCTATGATGCAAGCGATGAAAGACCAGAGCAAAGCAAAGGGTCCAAACTTTACCATCACCAAGAAGGATAATCTTTCGGTGGGTAATCGAATATATAAGTACATATTTTCTCTATTGTCAGCAATTTGGTATTTCTTCAATTGGGAATTCTCTTATGTGAAATTAGGGTAATTTGTCATCGGCGCAAATTGAACGTAACAAGACGAAAGAGCAACTCGAGGAAGAGAAGAAGATCTCTCTCAGCATTCGCATCAAGCCCTTGGAAATTGAAGGCCTATCCATTGATAAGCTCCGTGCTAAAGCTACCGAATTGTGGGAGACCATAGTCAAACTTGAAACCGAAAAGTACGATTTGGAGGAACGACAAAAACGTCAGGATTATGATGTGAGCTTTTAGTATATAATTTAAAAAAAAATGATATACATTATTTTTCATTATTTAAATAATATTTACATTTGTCACATTTCTAAAATTTGAATTGTCATTGCTTTTGGATAAGATTTCTTATGTGTTAGAATTTTTATATATTTTTAAATTCTATAAAAATATAAAAGTTCTAACGAGAAGATTAACGTAAAAATAGATTTATTTATATGCGTATAATAATTTTATACCATATAAATTTCCTAAAAATAAAAAGAAAGAAAAGAAGTGTATGTTGACCATTTCCGTCCTGGGAAATAAGTTGCTTGGACATAAGTTTAATTATAGTCTAAGTCTTGTTTTCCAGCCATATTGATAAATCGATATTGCCCTTTCATCATAGCTTAAAGAGTTGAAGGAGCGTCAGAAGCAACAACTGAGGCACAAAGCCTTGAAGAAGGGTCTCGATCCCGAGGCTTTAACTGGCAAATATCCCGTACGTAACTTTTATCATATCACATCGGCAAAAAGAAGAAAAGGTAAAAGACAAGAGAAAATTAATCGATTACTCGTTTTGTGTAGCCGAAAATCCAAGTGGCCTCGAAATACGAACGTCGCGTCGATACTAGGTCTTACGATGATAAGAAGAAACTTTTCGAAGGCGTAAGTACACCTTTTTACTTTTTCAACACGTTAACGTTCATTCGTCCCCTACTCTCAGAATACGAGGTCAAATCCAGAATTTTATAACACACGAGCGTGAATTTTTTACATCGTACACTTACCAGATACGAAGACACTGCCAGACACATAACGTATGTAAAAGTAGTCACTCTTTTCCGTTTCACAAATAAGCTACCGAACACGATAGAAATGAACTTAATATATATCTATGGATTAGCGATTAGTGAGCATATTGTCGATTGAATCACAGGGTTATGACACGCTCTTAGCGGAGATCAACGAGAAAACGTGGAAACAGAAAACAGAACTATTTATGAAGCGCACCAAAAGTGAGTTCAACCGTGATGGTCTCTCTGTCTCTGTACCATCCCCCCCCCCACGTCCTCTTTTGCTTGACTTGCTGATTGTATTGCCCCGAAATTTTACGGGCGAACCGTGTTTCTTGTACTTGTTCCTTGTTCTCGTTGACTAAACGGTCGAAATGGCTACCGGCCACGTTATTGCTGTGTTGTCGTGTTGTCTCGATGGTGTACGTAAAGCACGGTATACCGTATTTGTGTTCACACGCAGATGATAATTATTTTCTCTTCTTTTTTTTTTTTTTTTTTTAATTCACACGCACTGCTCAGCATGGGAAAGATGCGGCAGCAGGTGGCAATCACGAAAAGTAATCATGCTCTTAATAACTTTGTCGACGTCTGCAAATTTGTTCACGTTACTTGACCTCATTTCGAAAGTGTACCATATGTTTCTCGGTATTCTCACCCTCGACAATTAAGGGCGGGTGTTTGACTTGTCCTTACGTTTCACACACGCGAAATCCGAGAACTCATTCTTCGAGCGTCAGAAGCGAGCATCGAAGATCGTAATCCAGACTGGAGGACGATACACTTATGAGAGTAGATGACCCCTTGTGACGTTGATTCTCTCGGTTGTAACTGTCGACCCTAACTTCGCCATGGTGAGAGATTTATTGATGGCCCAGGAAAAGCAACAGTATGGAGAGAGAGGGTTTCCCAGGCGATAGAACCCGATGTGTGAAAATAACCCCTAGCATGCCATTCTGTCCGTTGATGTTTCAGGGTCTGACCGAACAGCAGAAGGAGATCATGGAGAAACAATGGGCCCAACAGAAGGAGCAGTTCATGGGTCGCCAGAAGAGTATGTATAAATTCCACTTTCGAAACTTCGAGCCAGTATCGAAATCAAGAACTTTTTGGAAGAGCTTTCGATGCTCCTCGAAGCGTCGAAGTGTGCACAGCGAACGTATCTATGGGGAGAAATACAACGGAAATTTTATTTTCTTCTAATGAATATAATCGACTTAACATTATTAAGATTGTCCGAGAATCAGTGTAAAAATTATTTTAATGTTTCCGCTTTAATTTGATCTGTCAAAAATATCTGGCATTTATTTGTACCATTTAGCCTCGTGGAATTTTAATCGAGTATACCGAGTAATTAATGCATTTCACGTTCATCTCCTGATTGTGAAAAATTAATCTGTCACTTTCCGTGGATAATAGCGAAGTTACCTAAATGGTTCGGAGAGCGACCGGGCAAGAAGCCTGGCGACCCCGAGTCACCGGAGGGCGAGGAAGACGTGAAGGCTGCCGTCGACGACGACCTCGAGGAGCCGCAATTCGACGAAGAGGAGGAGGAAGAGGGTAAGGAGGAAGTCGAGGAGGAGGAGGAGGAAGAGGAAGAGGAGGAGGAGGAAGAGGAAGAGGAGGAAGAGGAGGAGGAGGAAGAGGAGGAGGAAGAGGAGGAATAAATCTTCTGGTCGCAGAAGGTTACGTGGATGTTAAGGAAAAGCGTATTTCAAAAATTTACAAAAAATGATCGTTGCACAGTCTCGTTAACATTTTTCAAACGAAGCGTCGAGCGTGGTGGGTGGCCAGGGTCAGTAGAACGATGTGGCGAGATGAATTTCCACCTACTTCCGGAAACCGGCGAAACTTCTCTTCAAAGATTCAAACGTTGAAGAGGACGAGACGAACGACCGGATGCTGTTGTCGCGGTAGATTGTTCTACTATCGCTACTGTCACTGTTACGGCCATTACTACTATTATCTATTAAACTACTGCTACTCCTATTGTTACTATTGCTACTACTACTACTTCTCTACTATTATTACTATTATTATTATTATTATTATTATTATAATACTGTACAAACGCAGGCACACAAATTATTAAAATAAAACGATTTATCATATAAAAAACCCGTCGTTCTCTGGAATTCAAAGCTTCAATTCAACTCGTGCCCTATGGTTATCTTATAATATCCCTTTTCCCTGTTAAAGAAAAGAAGGTACGTTAAATACGTAAACAAAAGTATTTATTCAGAAAAACAATAATTTAATTACGTCATATTTTTAAAACCAAGGATCTTTCATCGCTCTGTTTCTGCTTCCGGCAGGGGTGTTTGACATTGAAACTCGAAGCGAAACATGTTCCTGTTCATTATCTCATACATGCTTTCCGATAGGTCTTATCATAAGGCTAACATATTGTTCTTGGCTATGCGGAAATGCAGACTAATTTGCGGCCTTAATTATCAAGACAAGATACAGGAGCTTTTTATCGGCTATTTTATAACAGTAAACATTTTGACGAGCGGGCAATTTCGATAAAAGGTAGTTTTGAAAGCGAATTAAGTATCCCATTGCAGATCTTTTAAGCGATTTCGCCGTGCACGAACGTTGCAAATATATATTGGTCATGGCAATTACATCAAATATCGGATCGTATTGTCTTTTGGATCGTATTGTCATCTAACGTGAGTTTAAAATTCGATAAATCGTATTAATTGACATATCTTATTTTTCATCACCAATTTCAACGTTTGCATGAGAATTTTAAATCATCGTTGTAATTCTAGAGAGAAATTTAGAGAAATAAGATTTGGCAAACGCGAATTTCACATTTTTTTAAGATCAAAGCTCTCGTCGAGCTTATATTTTTCGAGATTTGAATCATCGTCGTTTCTTCGGGACAAAAGGCCAGAGATTTGTCGGAGATTAGTCGAGAGATTCGCGTAAGCGCGAGGGATAGGAAATAACGGCGACGTTCAAAGGAGCCAGAGCGCGGTGCCAGGAAAAAAAGTCGCCATCGGAAATAGATTCTCGGGTCTGACGGCGGTCTCGTCTGCGGAAAACAGAAGCGCAGAAAGCGCAGAAGCTGCGAGCGCTCAAACGGGAAACGGACGCGGGACGATCCACCGCGATTGGAATTACAAGAGCGGCTCCGCGGATGAGAACAATGGCACGGTGGCACGAGGCCGGGAGGACGAGAGACGCGATTAGCGATAGAGTCGATCCGCTCGTGTTCCCCGATGATTAATCGCCCGCTCGTCCGGCGCTGGTAAGTCCGCTCGAGCGGAGGGATTAAGCGGCAGTTAAGAATATTCAATCGTCACGCGACATTAACGATCCGTTGTTCGAGGAGCTTATTCTGAAAAGAAGAGGAAGAGAAGAGGGCGAGAGGCGCACACGAGATAATCGCGATTTATGGGAGAAGCAAGTTAAAGCTCTTTAAAAGTTAGAAGTACGATCATAGAGAGATCGATCTCCCGCCAAGTGGAAAAGTGACGAGGATTATGGGAATGTTCCCTGCGCATTCGCACAAAGTCTTTTACAAATTATTTTGCAATCTTGAGTAACTTTTTTTAAACTTAATTTAATATTAATTCTTCTTAAAATTTGTCGAGCGTAGATTCGCGTATTGTATTCGACAGTCGCTCGAGTCCATCGCTAGCGCCCGACGTGTCGCCATTTCTCTCTGGCTTGACCGCCGTCCTCTTCCTCCGTCTGGTCTCTCTTTCCACGTCCGTTACACTTGGTCGCGAGCCTCTAGTCGTCTCGGTCACAACTATTTATAATGGCAGGTCGCCGAGCGAGTCCTCCTCGGGATCTCCGCCGCGGTTTCCTACATCTGGAGAACGGTCCTCGTCGAGTGCACGAGCAGTATTTTCGTCGGGAAACCTTCATCCAGGCATGGCCTCGTCAAGTTTCACGGTCGTCCAGACTGATCGAGGTGTAACGGAATCAGTCAACCTTCAACCTGGTGTTGCGTCGCGTAGCGTTTCGGCGAAGTAACGTTAACTAAAAAGATCTCGGCAAGAGTCGTCGTGTAGGTGCTAACAATACCGTCGAGAGTTTTTTCAACGGGCGTAGAACGGTCCGTCCAAATCCCGTTAAGCTGAACTGATCTTGATAACAACGACGGACGACCGTCGGCCCGACGCTGTTTCGCCTGTAGTTTTCGCGTTTTTTCCGCCTTCCGACGAAGTATATTGACTTTTTTTCAAGAAGAATAAGTCACCTTTGAGTATCCGTCCGCGTTGGAGTGCACTGTGTTGTCGCAAAGTTTATAGGATGTGATCGGAATTAATCGCGGATCTGACATCTGGAACATCTCGAATCCTGATCGAGCACATCGAGTGAATAAAATCAGCATCCGAGTGACTCGATCTCGTTCGTCTGGAGTGATTGAAGATGTCGATGAATAAACCTCGTGTATCATGGTGTCACGATTACGTTCCGATCACGTTTAGTATCAATAAAATTGAGTTGTCATCGAGTGTTAACGTAAGTTAACAGTACGACCGATTGCCGGCTCGAAATAAAATGCGTCCACGCACGTGTTAAAACTAAAACCGAACGGTCATCCCTGATCATTTATATTTTTCCAATTAACATATTTTTTCTCGTATTAAAACTAGGAACTTTGAAATTCTCCAACCTTTCATCGATCATTTTCCTCATTCTGATGGGATGTTAAAATCTTAGAATATCAGAGAAAATTTCTAAATCTTTAATGTCGGAAGAAAATAGTTTAGAAAATAGAAACAGTCAAGAATGACCGCTCGGTGCTTCCAGTGTTGATCCGATCGGACCGGACCGGATCGAAGCCGCCGGTCGCCGTGGGATCTGTCACGTTGTACGATTATGCAAGTGTTCGTAGCTGACGGACGCATTTTCGCGAGAACGTATCGTTCGTTGTGACGTTGGTCGCGAGGCGGAGGACGCGATCCCTCATCTACCGCGGTAGTGACTATGCCGGTCACGAAGACGAGGAACGGAGGAACGCTGGCGTGCTGATCGCGGCCCGCCGCTACCAGAGAGCCGCTTTCAATGAGGTAAGTGACAATCGACCCCGTTTCCTGGGGAATCGATACATCCCGATCAACCTTCACTTTGCGGCACAGGCTAAAGCGCGCCGGACAATCCCACGCGATTGGATTGAGATGCGCGGAGATGAGCACAGTCGCGGGCATAGACAATAGAATACGTCTCTTCTTTATCCATACACATATATATATATATATATATATATATATATATATATAGAACTACTGAAAAAAATATTAGAACATAATTGATCGTGTCGTAACGATAAATAATAAATCCAATCTCCGTCGTTGGTATAAATATCACGGGGAAAAAGTTGAATAAAAATTTAATGCGTCCCGATCTCTAGTATCCTTGCTCCAGATATGGTTTTAATTGAAATAGTTTTAATTTTGCACTGTTTTTGTTATTTTTTTTTTAAACTGTAACGGAAAATAGAGGAAAAACGGAACAGTGGCACTTGATAATAACGAAGTGGCAGAAATCATTAAAAATTATCTATGAACGTGACGTTTGAGTTTGAGTTTCTAGTTTATTTAATATAACGAAATTAGATTGAAATACATCGAGGTCGATATTTGAGAATTAATTACATTTTTTGTAAATTACGTTTGAATTTGTTTTGTTTTTTTATTGTCGCTATTTTTCCTCGTACACAGTGACTTAATATACACGTGTGCGGCTAAGCGGTAATGCCATTACGGCATTATGGAAAATAGAATTGTGACTTTGCGAGTCTTCTTCGGAAGCCATAATAAGCTTCGACGACACCCCTAGTTGCTTCGCGTAAGTCAGTCATGAGAGATCGAATGATGGAATCTCATGACTTGATCGAATGACGTTTCTCCGTCGCTCACAGTGAGCACGTTAAGGAAGATCGTCGTTCTTTCGTTTAATTTCCGGAGTTTCGTAATTGGGTTTATTCGGTACGAGCGGATATGACGGAGGAGGGGGAGGAGAGCAAGCAGGAGGCGGAGAAACGCGAAGAGGATGACACGATCAACGAAGGGTGAGAACAGCGGATATTTTATAATCTTATTTTTTTTTATGCGTAAGAGCTACACGTTTCGGTTTCAGCGTATAAAGCGTGTCCGAATTGTACGGGCATACGATGCGAAAGGAGTGGCGAGGAGATCATATTATTCTGCCACTTCGCGTAATTCATTTGTGTCAGGACAGAGACAGATTTGTTTCGAGTAGTTTCCGAGTGGCTATAAATAAGCTCTCTCCGCGGATACGTTTTTATTGATTTAAGGACGGTGGGCTGCGTTCCTTCTTCTTTAAGCGGGTTCCCACCGGGAATGCGTTTCCTCGCCTTAAAGTATAACAAACGTTCCCTTTAAGTAGCTTAAGTGAAGGGAACGGGAGCGAGTGTAGAAAGCGTAGTTCTGGAAAGAAGCCGGGTCCTCCTCGCGAATCGAAAGGTCCACTTTTTTGCATCATGCCGCGTGTAGCAAACCGACATGAACGAGAAACCGGTTACTCGCCCGTCGCGCCGAACGATACAGCATCGTTCATTAATGCTGATCTCAGCAATGCGATCTCGCTTCTTGCGCGATCGACGCAACTCGCTGACGAAGCCGGCAAACGAGGACGAATTCGATTCGCGGTCGCCACATTTCTGCGGTTCGCCTCGACCGCGATCGCGATTCGCAGTTAACAAATTCGCGGTAAGACCAGGCGGATCCCGCGTTTTCTGAATGAGACTGTAGCTCTCTCACTATCGCCGGCGTGGAAGGACAAACATGGCAAAACGTGAAAGAGGCAAAAGAGACGAGGCCACCTCCGTAATCTGGTCTGGGCTGTTTTCGGACGCGGACGCACGTTTTGCATCGCGCGAGCAAAGTATTCAGTGAAGTATTTGTGTGAACACGTGTTTCCGTGAACAGAAATACCGCTAATTAAATACGACGGTGATTAAATATATCGCGATACGATGCAGCCGAAGACCGGATGGTTGAATCGGACGAGAAAAAGTGAGAATATTCGTTAACTACTGTGTAATACCGAAAGATGCCGGAATACTTTGCGAAATAAAAATTTTTAATATAATCTGTTTTTTATCGTGAATATTAACGACCGAGTTTTCCTAACAATTCATTTTCTCTTTAAAAGAATTTTGTGAAAGACATCGTTAATAAGAATATCAATGGACGCGTCAGTAGCAGCGACAACTTTTTAAAATTAAAATTCCTTTTAACGAAAATTTCGAAAAAGTTTGCTTGAAAGACCACTTAATCATATTTCTCGATTATAATTTATAAATTTCATCACATTTCGTCTCTTTATAAAACGAGAACTCGCTGCCTCAGTATTATCGAACTTGAAATCAGATTTTCCCGGAAGGCTGGCGCATTAAAGTTATTAGAGAACTATGCAATAAGCGTGAGACACGGAGGCGGTTTTTTCTTTGACGTTCTTCCATTCGTGTTTCGCAATGTGACTTAATTGCGTTCTTTCGAAAGATACTTCAGCCCGTTATTAAACCGCACGGTGTATCATGCGAATCCCACTGCGCTTTTGTTGTGTCGTTCGGTCTCGACGGAATCTCGGGTGTCGTAGTGATTAGAAGTTAATTTTGAAGTCAGACGTATTACGAGCCTGCGCTCGTGTTTCGTCGAGTAAAAATAATACTGGAATAATACTGGAGTGACATCAATGACGATAACTGGCAACCGGACGAGTTTGTGATTGACTGATCGGTGTTGTACACTCGTTATTGGAAAAGTGGCATGCAGGTGTTATTACGCGGAGATGACATAATTCGCAGTTGCGAAAGTTTAGCGGGAATAAGTGTGCGGGGAGCGGCGATTGTGTCGCAATTGTTCTTGCAATTTTTTTTTCCTTCCTTTCCTGGTATCAGTCGCGTGTATCGAGGTATCGCGGCGAAACCAGCCACGAGGATGAACGTCGACTGGCTGTGCTGTGTGAGATGTTGCTCGATATCGGAATCAACGGCCGGCGAGGCGATTGTGATAAAAGTCACGTGAGTTTCGGGTCCATATGGACCCGCGTTGCTCTTCTCTCACGATTAAGTTTCTAGAACAATCGGCGCGACGGACGGCCGTCGCTTACGCAATTGCGACATTCCTGCGTGGAATTTGGAAATTACGTTCTTCACATTTTATAAGGCTCAGGGACATTACGTAACCGAGACTCGTTAGCATTTCTATCAAATTCATTATAAATGCTCATCGCAAAACGTGAAAGATCTTCCTTTAAACTTTACATTTGAAACTCTAAACTTAAATCGGTCTCGGTTGAAAGCTTCTTTGAAGATATTAAATTTCGCTTGTTATACGATTCCTTTAACTTAAAGGACAAAGGAAAGGCTGGTTACGATTTATGCCGTGACATTTTATGTAAGGCGATTCTCCGTACGCCGATACTTTACGTGGAAATAATACCTCAATTGTAGAAACTTCAATTGTTCAAACTTGTAACTCGAACGTTTCCAGGTAGAAACTGAAAACGTTCGGACAATTCGATGAAGCCCAAAAATTCGTCCGCGAGTCTACGTTCGAGTCTTGCCTTACATCACCGAATCTATATGCTGCATATAATGAATACATTTACACAATCACATACAGATAGGCGAATAATAATGCCATCGAAGAATCATAATTCAAATTAACAAACAACACTCCTCGGATGAATCGGCGACAAATTCCATTATATTGAGCTGTCGATCCGCGCCGGTCGGTTCCTTAGGAGCGTGTCGAAGGTGAGACAGCTAAGAGACGGGTAAAAGATCTCGTAGACGTTATGCCCCTCCCCGTGTGCTGACCGTATACCACCATCTGGGCGTTTCTCGTGTGCATTGTAGGTTGCTCGAGTTGGCCCCGAAGCTAGGACAACGGGTGCATTTCGCGGAGGGCACGAACTTAAGATGCCGCGAAGATCCTATACCGTCTGATTCAAAGATAAGGTCAGCAGTTATCTAAGTTACGGACCTCGAAGAGCGATCTCTCTCTTTTCTTTTTTTTTTGGTCAAAAGATTAGTTGCGCAGAAGAGAAAAGAAAGTGAAAAAGAAGAATTTAGTTCGACTTTTCTTTTAATGCGAGATTTCTTTTAATGCGAGGTACCACGATTTTAGTAATGTCTCGGCCATTCGTCGATTTGAAAAAGAATTCTTTGATTTCTCATCGCCGGACTGTTCTCGACTTGATTCTCGTATGACGCTTTTAATTTGCAATCTAAGTTACACATGTGTCCTATTAAGAACTCTCTGACACAGCTTCTTCGAGATCGATGACGGACGCGTGTCTTATGGTTGCAATTCGCGCGAGTCCATCGTGAATACGAGAATTTAACGCACCGGCGATTCCGGACTAATATTTGAAGTGACGTCAGAGAGAAAGAGAAACGTTCGATAGTGGATGTAAATTTTGCTTTACAATGTTTATTTCACAGTGGTTTGTTTTGTAATGAAAGAATTGTATATAAAAGTGCAAATGAAAATGGCATTCTGAGAGCGAAAGAGGGAAAATGAGAGAGAAAGAGAGAAAGGGGGGAGAGAGAGAGAGAGAGAGAGAGAGAAAGAGTGATTTAAATTATATCGATAAATTTCCAATAAACTCATTTCTGAATGAACAAACAACTATGCGAAACATGATATTTGAATATCTCAAATTTCCAAATAATATAAACACCATTAACGTCATTCGATGACTGCCGATTTCGTACCGCGTTCCTCTCGCATTCTCTCTCTCTTTTCATTCTTTTTTTATCATATGGATCTCAATTCCTAGCCAATACGCTTTATATTATTGCGCGCATGGTCGTGACAACCTCCGCGAGAGGTGATCCGTCGCGGAGGGCGCATGAGCGGAGTATGATGATGATGAGGAGGAGGAGGAGGAGGACGGTGGAGAACGGAGGCGCGCACACGTACAACCCCCGCGTTCTCTCTCACCCCTTTCGCCATCGGTCATCGACGAGCCCTGGCCTCGCGTTAGTCCGACCGGCAATCTCGCCGTGCCGCGTCGCGTCTCCATCGCCTCGTACGAAACCGCGCCACCGTACGTTCTCTTTTTTCGCGGGTCGCGAGGAACGCGACCCGTGCCGAGAGGGCTCGAGAGACCGTTAGACCCCTAAATGCGGAGGTTCCGAGAAGGACTGCGAGAGAGGGACGGGAATTTCAGAGGGAAAGGACCTCGTTAAATTCATCCCTCATGCGACGACTCGTGGACGGTGCGTAGGTGCTTCTTATTCGAAGGATATTACGGCTTGCAAGAGGGAGAGAGAGAGAGAGAAAGAGAGAGAGAGAAAGAGGGAGAGGGAGAAAGAGGGAGAGAAAGAGACGAATCTCGAGGGTGGCGAGAGTGGAACGGTGCGCGAGCTTCCTCAGTAGAATGTGCTCTATCATTGATCGAGTATATGGATCGACTGACGTGGCCGAAGGTCGTTCGGAATAACGAACAGCCTGGTTGTTGAATGAATATTTGACCTGCAAACGCGGGGATCTAATCTTTCGAATCGTTCCTCGACCGTTCGTCCCGCATAAATCCGTGGAATTTTGGCTCTCGTTACCGTTGACGTTCGATCGATCGTCGATATCCTTAACGAGAAACGATGACGAGCGTGGAATCTTAAAGAGATTTGGGCCGGCCGAGAAATGTCTCGTGACGATGACACGCGGTTTAATCGATCCCCGATCACCAAGGAATCACCAAGGCTCGATTTCGTCTCGTGCGGCGGCACACACGGGGGTGCTCGCAACCCCGTCGTATCGGCGAACATCGACGATCCCGATTACCACGCGTCACCGTGAAAATAAATTCCGGTGCTGGAAAACTCGATCGATGATGCCAGTCACTCAAGAGGAGAGAGCCGCGCTGTGAGGGACGGCAATAAAGAAAGAAAAAGGAAGATATATATATATATATATATATATATAAGGATATATCTATAGAGAGAAAGAGTGATTGAATGCGAGAGGGGACAAATGAAGAAGGCGAAGAAAAGCGGATGAAAACTTGCCCATCTCGAGTGATTATCGTCGAGTTTGCCGGGATCGTTCTCGCAGAATACAACAAGGTAATCTCCATTATAATTCGCTAGTTGCTTGACAGCCTGATGTTTCGACGGAAGCTGGTCAATTTGCGCGGTCATAAAGATCTTCTAACGTTAAAGAAGTGATCGAAAACTTCGTTCCGAACTTTGTTCCAATGTAATTTCAAAGTAATCTCGAAACATACGAAAGCGGCGAGCAAACATTTGGAGCAACATCGACTGGCAACGAATCAGAATTGACCATACGTTTCCATACGACTGGAGTCGCTGCAAAATAAACAGCTCTTTGTGCATGTCGATCGAGGGAAAGTTCGTGCGGGCCTTTGAAAAAGAGCTGTATTTTTCCAGCCTGTGTTTTTTCCTTTCCCGATATCAACGAATATTTTGCTTGCTATTGCCTTTCTGACGATTGATAACTATTATTCTGAGTATTTTCGAGGACTCGAGGATTTCAGCATATACAAATATTGGCGGCGAAGGTACTTAGAATGGGCTGCAAATCGGCAGCTAAGTCCACGCTGGAAGAAGAGACGGCCGCGTCGTCATCATTGTCGTCGTTGTCATCTTCGGTTCAGCAGAAGACGGTCCAGAAACGAGGGTTGGTACGCGACGGTGAGTCCGGTTTTGGGGACGACGAGGAGAGTGGAGAAAGCAACGTGGCCGCACGTGTCTCGCCCGAGAGGTCGTTTTTGTTAAGAAAGAGCAACGGAACGTCCGTCGTCGTAGACGACAGCGTCTCCAGGTAGCTATTAAGCGAGAATGCAGAAGTTGCGCTCGACTTTCAAGAGATCGCGCACTCCCACGGGGGCGGAAATGAAGTCGCAGTCCAGCCTAGAGGTGCCCAAGCAGATCAGGTCGGCCTCCTTCGATGAGATACAATTGCAGACGAAGCGGCAGGACGACCGAACGACCTCCTCGTCGTCCTCGTGTTCTCCAGTGAGGTCGCAGGATTCGATTCGCGGCAGGAGAGGCTCCTCGACGTTGAAGGTTCCACAGTTGACTGGCCAGCGTTCCAAGAGCTTCGACGCGTATTCCGCGAGTTCCGGCTCGTCTTCGAGCCAGCAACTACCAGCGGGCGGGATCGAGCGGCCGGAGACGCCGATCATCCAAGTCTCCGGCTGCTATCACTGTGCCTGCGTCGAGGAATATAGAAGCCTCTGGCTGGTCGAGAATATCTCCAAGGAGGAGGTCGACGACAGCGAGGCTCGCGATGCCGACAGCACGGATCTGTCCGAGAACGAGTCGGATCACGAGGACGAGGCGAAAAGGGAGAGCAGCCCGGAAATTCGGGTTACCCTGACATCCGACAATACTTCATGCGAGCCGCAATGCATTCCACCTCAAGTGGCCGAGGCCACATCTGCCGAGCCGGATTCCGAGGTCAGACCGGATTTCCCGGAGAGACAACGCAGGTTGTCCAGGCAGGAAGCCTTGACCACCTTCCCTCTGGAGCATCTTCCCGCTCTCGCGTCGGCGGCGACCACGTCGGAGGTAGATGAGGATGACGATGACGAGGAGAACGAAACCGTCGAACCCAGCAGACCCAAGTTCGTCGTGCGCGATATCTTCCTGACCGTGCCGGAGCTGAAACGGGACCGTGCCGCCTCTGTTGATTCATGCTTCAATAACAACAAGAATGGCGGCGTAACCGACGCGGACTCATTGGCGGTACCGCAGCAGAACATCAGGTCGAAGAGCGTCGACATTGTGCTGCCGACGGACGCGAGGACAAGATACACGGCGCTCCTACCTGGGAAAGAACCACGACCTTCGATAGGGTGGGTACGTCTGATTGGATGGAGCCATGACTTCCTGGAATGTTCTCCCGTTCTCAGCACGTCACCCGATACAATTCAAGATTACGCTGACAAGCACATTTTTAAGTTATGCATTTGAATTTTGTTACGCGCGACTTTAACATTTGAACTTTATTTATCGCCAATCTTGAACTCGATAAGCAGTTCTCCATCGCAAACATTCTATTCTTTTTATGTACTGCTTTTATATACTGCTTTTTGTTTTATTTAAAACAATTTTTAAATTGAATTTAACTGCTAAGATATGGATTTTAATTTCAGTTCATCTATTTTGTAATATTGCACAGCTGATTATGTATTATTAATTTAATTTTTATTATCTAAGAAGATTGTAGAAATATAGATTTTTCGGGGGCATAAACATTGAGATTTGCATTGAGATTCTTTTTAAATATGAAAGTTGTAAATATAATATGATATAATAATTTATATAATATCGATTTGTATTATTTTAACATATATTAAGTATATAATAACTCACAAAAATCACGATTGGTTAAGAATTATTTTTTTAATTTTATTTGAAGATAATTAAAGCATATTTTATATTTCTACTTTTTTTTTGTAAATTCATTCTTTGTTATTTATATCTATTTTAAATTTGTTGTGTTCTATATATACGATAGATGAGTTAAATTAAAATATAATTTTAAGCAAAAACATTTGAATATTCTTTTTCATTTTGCTTAAACATTTTTAAACTTTACATATCTTATGACACCCATATACGTAAAGTACACTAAGAAAACTATGGTGTACAATGTTATGAATAGAATTCTATCCTGAATTCTGACGCGACCTATAGATCGTCTAAAGTGGTTTTAAAAAATAAGCACGAAGACTTCTATTATCGTGCTGCTATTTCCGTCTCTTTTCTCTATTAACGATTCTACTTAAAAGCAACATATAGAGCGCTTATATAAATTATTATTCAGAGCATATCCAGAGAATCGCCATAAATAGCAGTGAACGTTCTCGAAAAACCGTACATTTATATATTAAAAAGATAAAAAAAGTGTGTTCATTATTGTGCAGAAAATTAAATATTTAGAAGGTATATTGATCGACGAACTATAAGTAAATTAGAGTAGAGTATCGTACGCACCTTTCATGCGTCCTGATTAATAACATTGTTTATTTATCACGACACGTGTCGAGATATTCTACATCAAAAGGCCTCATCTAAAAAGCAACCGTAGTCGTTAAATTTTTATATTCGAATTCCGGATGTTCGCTTTGCTCCGACGGGGAGCTGGACTTTAATTATTCAACGCAGCTTAAATCTTTGAGGACACTTTTACCATTTCAAAGGTACGATATGATTTCGTTCTCGCGCTTGTCAGACTCTCATGAAAAAGGCACGAGCGTTGGGAATTTTAATTATGTATACAAGAGAGAGAGAGAGAGAGAGAGAGAGAGAGAGAGAGAGAGAGAGAGAGAGAGAGTAGTAGTAGTAGTACT